GGGCGAGCATGTTTGATGTGACGGGTATTCGAACCCGCGACCCACAGATTGCAAGTCGAGCGCCCTAACCACCTGGCCATGCCAGGCCCCATAAATTATGATGTAATATTGAACCATATTGTTATACTACTACATAAATTATAATGTAACAAGGTGCGGTACCCGTCATTTGTCCGGGTTATGAACACAAAAAAAAAACTGTGGGGGGTGGATGCTATGATAAATAACACAAGAATTCTAACTTTCACACAATTGATTTATAACATACTATTATAGGATTCACTATTACCTGAACAAAAGTTTTGTATAAGCTTTAAGAACTCAATATGTATATACTTAAAACATAATATAAACTATCGATTGTCAGGGTGACTTTGTAGGAAGAGCTATCAGAGAAAATGTGGCCGTAGGTGTGATTTCTGTCACCCCTTTCAACATCCAGCTCACGTGATTAATTAATTGACGGTGATTGGCCGTAGAAGTATCTTACGGGCCGAAGTTGAAAGGTCACGGGTCAAAGTAGGAAGTAGGTATAACTCAAGAAACGGGTCTTCATATCAGCCTTATGGTGGCTGTTGGAGTAGAAACTTTAGCTGAGTTTATGTATTATTGCAATAGTGGCGTCCATTTTTTTAAAATTCCATGCCTCCATAGAGAGCGCTATCGCATTGTCTGAGATATATATATATATAAGACGTTTGTAAGGCTGCCCCCCCCCCCAACACACACTGTGTGTATGTTGTGCTACAGAAAATTTAATAAAGTTTTTTTGTGTGTGTAAGGACGTGGCGCCATCCATGAATGTAGTTAACGTTAACTTACATCAAAGATAATAAATGCTCAATAACAGCAATAATGTAGATGAAAGGGGTTGGGAACCTCTCATTAACATGCCCGTTGTTCCAAACTATCATCCTAGAAAGTTTCGTTGAGATTAGCCCGGCGACCTAGTAGTAGTTAGATAACGGACAAACAGACAGACACAGATTTTTATGCTTTATATATACAGATACCTACCTGAGATGCTATTATACAAATTATGATGTAACACCGAACTGCGTTTTATACTAGTCTATAAATTACAATGTAATTCCTACACATGGGATGTTCGACCCAATGCCAATTCTCACGCTATAATAAAACGCAGTACTCAATATCTCACATAAGTACATCAAATGGAGGTTAATTGCCCTCATACAATAAATAATACATGTAAGTTGTAGTATTATGGCTCATCAGATATCTCCTACAATTCATTATGTTAATTGTTAAATAAAACTAAATCATTATAATAAACGGGGGAACATGTATTTTTAATGCTTCGTGGTCAATAAGGCTTAGCATTATATATAATTGAAACAACGTTCATCATACATATTTAAATGTTTGAGTCGTACAAAACATGAAATCTGAGTTTTACATTAGTTCTATATTGCAGGCATTTTGAAAATATGGTGGGAAAAATGTTCTTTTTGAATTTCTTACTTGAATAGATCTATGTCGCACAAAAAAAATCGTGAAATACATTTTGGTAAGTTATAAACTTAGAAAAATCCATGAAAACTTATCTTACAATGGATTATTTGTAATACGCCTAAGACATATTTATTTCTGTCAGAGTATAGAACCATATGAACAGGATTAAAATACAATTTGCGACCAGCACTAGACATCTGCTAAAATCATAAACAAACGCGTCTGTAAAGTGAGCTACTTTTCATCCAGTGTAGGAGAGCGATCATAGCTACTGGGAAATAAACATACGCATGAATGAGGCCAACCTGCTAGATATGTACTCTGACCTTGAGAGTGGCTTGAAATCAATTGTTTTATTAACAACAATGAAATGAAATTGTTATGCAAGTTTCATTAAATATGATGAGGATGTCAACGCTAGTAATTTTTGAGCTTAAGTATTTTTCCATCCCTATGATTATCATTCACTTCTGATCAAAGCAAGCAAGCTATATACCTGATCTACCTTCGGTGGGTCAGCGGTAAGTTTACGGACTTACAGCGCTAAAGCCCGGGATTCGATTCCCCGCGGTGTACAGAGCGTAATTAGCTCAATGTGTAGCTTTGCGCTAAAACAAACAAAACTTAAAAGTTCACCCAGTAATGAATACAGCTAAATGAATATACCTTTCTTTAATTAAAATACATTGATTATTCAGTTGTTTAACCTTGTTAAAAATAATCTGATATCCTAGTAATTTTAATGTGCTTCACAATGTTTAAAACCCTAAATATGTGTTAGTAACCAATGGAAACTAATTACTTTCACACACTTGAGAGCAATACTTGAAGTTTTTTCACACATGGTTGGTCGGAAGATAACAGCTGATGGTTTAGCTTGGAACTTATATCTAAGAAAATGTAACTAAATCTAAATCGATAAACAACAACCATTCTAATTTCTGGAAGGAACCACCAGAAAACAGATAAAGCATAAATTTGTGAGGGAACAGAAAGTGGTCAGCGTCTTACCAGACGAAAAGGAGGGTGGGGAGGGGGCATGCAGAGAACAGGGAATAGATAAGGCGGTGCTATGTTCCGCAACGGTCTGCTACAGCGTCCACTCGTTGATCTTGCCTAGTGGCGTGAATACGAGTGAATGACGGTAGCGCATAATACTTAGAGAACCATCTTAGCCGTCGGTGCCGGCGCGTCTGAGCGGGAAACGATCGCACAGTATAAGAGGCAAACAGCTTTGCCATGACTGGCTTCATTGCGTTTGCAAGTATTGATGAGGAAACATAGCAACTATTTCCAAAAGCTGTAATTCTTCAAAACTGCTATATAAAGATGGCAAATAGGTTTGAACTCTTATGATTCGGGTGTCTTGAAAATGTCAAGGGACGAAAAGAGCGACTGACTTTGATATGCTTGACCTGCATCGGTTTTTAGAGGAAAGTTCTATTTATAATGTTTCACTCACAGAGCTAAAGTATTCTTAAAGAAAGAGAGTCGCCACAATAACTTATTTAAAGAGATCATGAATTATTCAAAAGTTTTGTCGTCATCATCTTTTCCACAATAAGTAACAGACCTTCTCGAGAACCCAGATTGGAGTCTTCCCAGGATCTTGAGACAGTCTTAAAATCAGTAGAGTGGGGACCTTAGAAAAGCAACCTCCATTTCTTCAAGAACGAAATGATTACGTTCTGCAGGTGAGAACCACTTTAGATATACATATATATTTGTTTTTTAACAGCAAGAATATTGTATCCTGAAGTTCTGTGAATGTTATTTTCTTTACGTTACTCACCACTCACAGAATGAACAGTAAGTTCCGTACCAGTTTTTTTTTCTATAGCTATCAAGCTTTATCTCACCTTCCATCTGTCTATATATTTTTGAATATCATTTTATTTCCATAACAAAAATTATAAAGTGCCACTTCAGTCTATTAGTTCCACAGAAAGACCTTACCTATTTTTATAGCGTTCAATTCAATCTAAACTTTAAGGGGGGAGGAAATAAACTTCCTAAATGTGAAATTTTCTGGCCAGCATGCAACTGCACTGTTAAACTATTCCAATAATACTAAAAATATAATTTTCTAGGAATTTTAATGTTTCAAGTTTCCAGCACAAGGGGAATCGCTTATTCTAATTTTTTCTTATATTATTATTTATTCAAACCATGAAAAAAGCTAAATACTCAAAGATCGGTCATCTAATATAAAACTGAGTTTTAAACTAGTAATTGTGTTCTGGCCTCTGAAGAGTATGCGTCAAGATTTCGTAACATCCATCAGGTTTTGGTGTTGGATGTGAACCGCTGCAAATACACTAACTCTTTTAAGTACACGTGTCGCATCTAAATAAGCTGTTCCGGATTTCAGGAGTAAACGACGGGTGCGTTTTATGTGGTTTGTAAGTAATGAATTACTCCTTTTTTCTACATACTTATATTTGTTAACTATTCTTGATTACAATGATTATTTAAAATGTATTTGAATACTTTGTGAATGAATCTTTACACTTAGGAAAGTTATTTTTACACTGTTAGATAAATATTCTGAGTTAGCCAAAACTTGTGAGGTTTTATTGGGATTACTACCGAAAATGTCGTTAAAAGCAAGAGTACTCAACTGATGATGCAATGCCTTCTAATGAATACGGATTCTACTTTTCTGGTGTATAAGTAGTCAGTTTATTATGTAGGATTGGATATATTTAATTTATGAGACATCTTTTAGTATTGATCAGAATAGTTAGATTTACTTTTGAACATAATCTTATGCTTCTTATTAAATACTGTCATTTTAGATACTGTCAGTTTATCAGAAAACATGATAATAAGTAAACGTATTCAAATTATCAGAAGTCAATGCGCCTGGATATAAGGAAAGAGTAACTTCTCAAAACAGTTTTGTTGTAAAAACATGAAGACCAGCCGGTGCCTTTCAATATTCCTGTTTGTTTGTTTTCGAATTTTCAAACAAAAGCAACGCCAGAACTATCTTCGCATAGCCTCCCCTAATTTTAAACTGATAGACTAGAGAGAAGGAAGCTAGTTAATAAACCTACCGCCAATTCTTGGGCTGCTCTTGTCTGATTGAGTATTGGGATTTGACACTAATTTTTATAGCACAACTATGGTCTCAAAGTGCGGAACGTGTTTTTGCAGCAACGGGACACGATCCATTAACCGCTGATTCTCAGTCCAAGCTAACCACTAGACCACGTCTAACCCGCGAAGAGTTTAGTTATATAATAGTTTCAAAGATTTTATACGTATTAAATCTTAGGGCAATAGTAACTGAAATCGTTTGGCAAATAACGAGGATAATCATGCAGAATAAACAATTACGTTGTTTGGCTATTAACAAATGAAACCCTTAAGTAGCTTAGCAAATAAAGAATAAATCATGTAAGGCTTAACAATTGAATCGTTTGGCGAATAACGAGTAAAATAATGTGAGATAAACAATTAAATTGATATTAATTTCCGATCTATGTACTTAGATTGTTCGTCTAAGATGACAAGTAAAATCGTACCGATAATAGCAATTAAATTGTTTGACGAATAGCAGTTAAAATAATCTAAAGCTCGATCGTAATGATTAAAGCTAGCGTCACCTTGGCAAACTTTACGAAACTATTATCGATTCTTATACTTTAATTTTGAACCAACCGCCCGATCCAATCATTCTTTAGCTGATTATAATTAATTATTAGCGTATACACACATCTGTCTATAGCATGCAGAAACAAATGTTTTACGCTTGTTTCGGATGAAACGTTTTTTTCCAAAGCTGTCGTTAAAACTTCAGAAGATTTTCGTTTCATCATCAACATACGAGAAAAAACAACTACATATTTTTTTTATTTTACTCGAAAAGAATGTTTGAGTAAACTTGGAGCTTCTGTTGCAAGGGGAATCTTTCTATCTATTTAGCCTAGTTTAAGCCATAGCTCCAGGAATAATAAAACAACACCCCCTGGTTTCTGTTAGTTTTCTAAATATACTTTAAGTCGTATGGAGACACCAGTTTTATGACGTGTTAATGGTTAATTAACTTACATTTCTCGGAGTTTCGAGGTTATCGCATTAAAAGAAAACACGAAAAACATCGCGACCTTAGAAAAAATGGCTTCTCTGTCAGAAAGCAAGCAAGCTTTATATAATTTGAAGGTTTTTATTTTGTTGTTTTTTTGCAAGACAATCCCTACTCTATTTTCTGGATAGAAACCGGAATTATTTCGTTATAAAACTTCAGAAAGTAATCACAGTTCTTCTCAGTAAGTGAAGCGGTAAAACTTAAAAGTAAATACTGAAAAAATGAATTACGATAATGCCCGTGAAGATGCTTTATTCTTATAGAGTGAGCATTCAAACACGAAAGTCTCCCCCAAAACTGCTTGATTTTACAAAAAATATTTCTTCTGATCTTAACAATGGCATTTAATAGTTGAAGGCCTTATAAAAGAATTAAAGAACACGTTTAAAAGGAAAATTCCAAACTCGCCAGCACGAAAACAACGAGGGGGATAGAATTTATTCTTTTCTTTTTTTCCTCTTTTTTTTTTTTAGAAATTGCCTAATTGCGGTATTCAAGGTAAAAAAAAAGGAGGTAAGATATTTTTTATAGAGTTTCTTTCCTGTTGAAAAAAAAAGTCTTATTAGTTTGCTTTTTGCCAAAATCTAGTCGTAGTACTTATTTTTTGTATGTATGTGATTTTTTTTTCTTCTGGATATTGCATTAAACTACAGTTGGGGCCCACTGATTCGGGTTTTTATGAAGAAACCAACAACTTCACATAAACTGCCTAAGCTGGACGAATTATTCGACTATAATATTGCTGGAATTGTATGAAATGTAGAACGTTTTAGTTTCGTATAAACCGGGAGTAAACGATATGAGCCTCAAGATAGTCACAATACAGTAAAAGTTAGAGTTTCATCTGAGCTACAAGTAAACCAAAGAAAACGGAAACTCTAAGAAGAGTGTCATTAAATGTCATAATGAAACTTCATAGTCTTGGAAAACTAAAATTCAGCAATATGAGATAATTTTGATAACTTAAGTTGCCATGATACATAACTTTAGAAGTAACATTTTTATACGAGTTGTTTTTCTTTCAACTTTATTGTAGCCAAACAACATAACAGGAGCGTCTAAAGACTTCGGGGGGAGAGCAGGGAAGACTGACTTCGCGTGGGTTCCCAATTCAGCTGGGTCCCTACGCTATAGCTTAATTTGCGTATATGTGTTAATCCGGCCTGTCACCCCCACCAAAAAAAGAAAACAAAAAGGATGCCCCTGCAACGTGGATGTCTGGCTATCAGGCAGGCAATAGCACTGCCTATGTAGGGATGGCTCGGATTGTTTATCGAAATGGTATTTTAAATATCTCCTCAATAAGTAATCAGAACTTTACAATACTGTACAGTGTTGCCTATTATAACAATATCTGTGTAATGACTGAGTAACAAGTTCTGAGAATGTCTGTAAATATCATAGCAAAAAGTTTGAATTTCTTTCTTCTGCTTCTTTTTTATTACAAGATAACTCAAAAACCAAAACAGTGATGTCAACCAAATTCACTGAGGTGACATAGTTTCAAACGAAGTATCCGCTTTTATAATTATTGTTAAATACTAGTAATCATTTAAACAAAATCATAATTCTAGTGTAAACGATGTTATCATTACCCCTTGAAGTTAGGTTTTTACAAAAATTTGGTGTTCCTTTCAAAGGCTTAATTAAGTACAGGGTGGAACAAGAATTACCAGCAAATCACAGATAAACAATAAATATTACAGTTGGAACCTCATTGTATCTAGAAGTTGGTTATAAATACAACCTTCCTATGTCTATTGAAACACTGCATTAAAAAAACAAGCAAACAATTAAAGAAAAAACTTTTCAAAAAAGGAAGTAAGTGTAGGGATGGCTAATATCAATCCTTCAAAAACAATTCAAACAAAACAGTAGGGATAGCATTTGCATCATCCCTACATATAAACACAGGCAAGAATTAACATGTAGCAATTTATATAACTATTCAATCGCAATTGAGTTTAATTTATCCTATTTTTGTTTGTTAACATTCTACTACACCGTGTGCCTGTGCTTTTATGTAGGGATGATCCGTACTATCTTCTTTGCATTTACTTCCTTTTTGAAAAGTTTTTCTTTACTTGTAAACTATTTATCTGTTTAAAGACGATCTAATATTATAGTCAAAGGGTTTAAGTCAGCCATAAGGATATTTCAGTCAAGACAAAAGGAAAAGAAATAAATTCAGCAATGATACCCCTCACACTAACCCTATATTTAATACCAATGAAATATTCATATGACATAGAAATATCTAGAATCCAATGTTGTTTTTGTAAAGTTTGCGGGTTCGCAAAAATAGGAGTGGAGCAAGCCTCTTATCAGATGGAGGACTGAGGTGGGATCGACAAGATATTGAGGGCTGCACTCCAAATCTTGTTTGCACACATACTGTAGTATTTAGATAGTTAACAGCAATCATTGTTTGTTGAGTACGGAGATTAAAGGGAAAGTTTAAAATACATTTTGGGGCAGCTTAAGCCCCACCAAATCCCCAATCTTTCCGCTGCATTTGCGTAGAAATGCTTTTGTTTTTTAATAATTCTGTTCAAAACTGGAAACAAAGGTAACTGTGTACGCCACAAGGGGCATTAATTA